GGAGGGACGGAGGAACGGAGGGACGGAGGAACGGAGGGACGGAGGAACGGAGGGAGGGATGGGTAAGAAATCCTATGATGCAGCTTTGGCCTTGCCTCGGTTGCACACACGTGGAGGAGCCCCCTTATGCGCCAGTCATGAATCGGCCTGAATGCTGATTCGGATGAGTTTACAGGCATGCATGGGCGTGCAGTGCAGTCCCCAAAAAATAACAACTGATGGTCAAGGGAAACATCGACTGAAATTCATTGCCCCTGTTCCCATGCATACCCATGCCCCATACCCAAGATTCGAAAAAGCAGTGAAGCAAAGCATCTCGATGTACCAATAAACATGTGAAGAACTGGGCCCTCCAGTCTTCTTGCTCAGTTTTTGCAGCCGGTTCAACAACTCTCCCATCACGTGCAACAAAGTCTCGTTGGGTCAGCAAAGTTTGCCAAGCACTCGTGCTCCAACGGTAGATCTGAGATCTCCCCTGCTGGCAAGTTGTTCATCGCCTCCACGAAAGAGCGTGCATAGACCACAGCAGTGGCCTCAACTGTGTTGACCGGACGATTGCTCCCCACCGATCTGTTTCATGTCAGAGATGAAAAGGCCTCCAAGCTTAAGGGTCTTGACACCGTCAAGTGCCAACCAATTAAGAGATGCCTCTCTTGGCCCTGGAGGCCAAAAGCGAGAAATGCAGCTCCGGTCAGCCCAAGAACTCACCGGTCTGGTGTTTCTTGAAGAAAATGGAGGCCAACTCCCCTTTCTCAAGAAATACCGTGGATCTCAGCTGCGCGCGTGGCATGGAACCCAAGTTTCATACCCTAGTATGGCAGTTGCTTTTGTCTTCTTTCACACCTTTGATTGATTCCGTCTGCCACCGACTGGACGGCACACGCGGTTTCTTGTGGTGATCTGTTCTCCTTCGGTTCCAAAGTGGGGTTCCGGATGTGTGAAGATTGCACCCATCAATCTTCAGTTGCCCTTTTCTATCCGAACATTTATTTTTAAAAAATGCATTTTGGTCCGCGATCGCCTCTGCCCGGGTTACCCACCCAGTCACCAAGGAGTCTGCGTGGTCCTGCAGCACCAGGAATACTTCCTCAAAAACCATTGACATGATCAATTTGAGCGACGATGTTATCTACATAGGCAAGCTCACCCACACAAGCTCACACGCACGCCCAAAAGCTAACAAAAAAAAACAAGTGTTTGTTTGGCTTTCGGATATCCATCTAAGCACTCCAAATCGTGGGGAGGTCAATCAATCTGGCACCCACTCAAGCGCTTCACCTTGAAAAAGCGCTTCACCTGACCTATCGGATCGGTGGCTTCCGATCAAAAATGGACCGAACAATTACAGTATACTACTACACTACACACACAACTACCAGCACCTCCAACAGGTCACCAATTGAAACCTGTTAGGGCCTAACAAACCTCCATTTCGGAGGTGCAATCTGTGCTGTTTTGGCCGAGGCGTCGTTCGTGGGCAGATGCAGTGCCCGACTTTCGACCGAGGCTTCCAGTCTTCCCTGGTGCTTCCTTGGGTTGGACCAGGCGAGGTCCGTCCGCGGTCTTCGGTGCGTCGGTCTGTGTGGCGTCTGGTGGGTCTCCAGAAGTGGAAAACCCTCACCAACGGAGGCCAAAACGGAGGCACCTGTGTTGCCCAACAAGCCGTGCACCAAACATGGCAGCTGCACCCTACAAGTAGTAGGGACCTTCTGGGCGAAAGCTTCGGACCTGGATGGTGCTCCCCAAAACACACACAGCGATGATTCCGGTGTCAATGTCCGTTTCCGCTTCCTGATGGATTCGCCTCCCCCGAGTTGTCCACCATCACCCGCCCAAGTTGATCAATGATGGCCCCAACAAATTGGAACACGATGTTCACCGCGACGAAGCCAAAAAAAAAAGAAAAGTGCCAATGTTTTTAGAGAACAAGCACCACCCTGACTCATGCGGTGCCCCATGTTTTGTCATGCCCAGCGTCCACCCTCGGATCCACAAAGATTGCTCACTGCAGTAATCCTCCGCGGAGATTTCCATGTGATGCCGCGAGTCAGCGCGAAACGTGCTCTTCCTGCCTGGCAGAAGCTGGCTCAGCTAGCTGCGAGCTGCGGGGTGCGTGAGAGACTGATGCCAGGAGTGGGGCCTTTGCTTCGGACGAACGCGTTTGAATCGAACCATTCGTCCCGAACGTCACCAAGAACTGGTCAAACGAGTATGGATAACTTGAATGTCAGTTTGTGTACATACAGGCCTCCAAATAGATAGAACAGTAAATCCCCACTAAAAATAAAAGTGTTTTGGAAACAATTTATATCTATTTGGGGACCACTATGCAACATATAGTTATGTGCAGTTTACATTTATCAGCTGGCTTTTCAGCGTCGGCTGATCTTTGGCGCTGGTGGTCTTTCAAGAGCGTCATCATGCAATGATACAACAATCCATCCCGGCCACTCTGAAATACTCAGCTCTTTTCACGAATTGGATGGTTTTTCTTTCGCGTTGGAAGTTCTTCCCCTGGTGTTCTTCCTTTTTCCTTCGCTCCCCCCCCGGGCCTTCGCTCTTCTCGGTGCTCTGACCTTCTAAGGAGCCCACCCCGAAGACACCGAGGAAACTCATGGTGCCGTGCTTGTTCTTGGTCCGCTCGTGCGGCGTGGCGACCTGAGGCTGGTAGAACTCGGAGCCCGGAAAATAGTGCGCCGCCCCAGAGGCCATGAGGTAAATGCCTTGACCCTTCTGATTGCTGTAGAAAAGCATGTCGTTCTCCAAGAGGTACAATTCACGGACAGCATGGTTGCAAAGGTTCAACTCCATGGTGGTATCGGCAGCGCCGATCTCCAGGAAAAAGGGATGGCAAGCCAAAGTAATGGAGCGAGCCTCATGAAAAAGCTCCTTTACCAGACCTTCGGGCAAAGAGAGCAAGAACTGCATGTGGTCTTGGATGCTATCCCGGCAATGCTCACGTTCCACCAGCCGGCGGATCTTCATCGTATGCATGGCAGAGACGCCACAGGTTCCACAATACCTTCGCACCGACTCCATGATCTGCGTCATCTTCCGGGTTCGGCGAGCGACATCTGCCATCAGGTTGGTCAACACACTGACAAACAAGGAGGAGATGATCAAGGCGATGCCTGTGGCAATAATGGCCAGCCAGCGTTCAAAGGCAGTGTTGAGTTCCACATTGAACTTTAAAGACGAAGCAGGCAACCGGGACACGGCCCACTCCACGCTTCTCACATATTGTTGCCCGATGGTTTGTTCATGGAGGCCTTCCAACACCACCCAGCCACCTTCCACATCCCCAGCCAGGAACCACAGGCTGGCCAGGAAATGCACCGCAAACATCAGGCCCAACGTCAGCATCAGGATGGGCATCAAAGTGGAGGAGACCCAACCCTGGAAGAACAGCCGGAATTGCCGATAGCAGCTCCTCGGTGAGAGGAGAGCTGAACCCACTGAAGCAGAGGTGTTTAAACTTGTGGCCCTCCTGCAGGTGCTTTCCCATGACATGTTCATGGAAACGTCATGGGGATCTGAAGAAACTCAGTTAGAGTATTTAGTTACCGTACACATACACACACAGAGATATGTATATATATGTATATATATATATATATATTTGTATGTGTGTGTTGTGTGTGTGTCATATCGTAAACAATGTGGGTGTGGGTGTGTGTGTGTGTGTCACCCCCTGTGCCGAAGGGTTCGCCACCACATTCACCTTCACCACTGTTTCACAAGCAGGGGCGTCAGGCTCGATACACCTACCTGACGCAATGAAGCTCTGGTGTATCGAGGGATGGGTGGACTGATCATCCACCTGTACCTGCTTCAACGTTTGAGCAAGCTGTTCCAATCCTCCTTTTTTGATTCCATGGTGGTTCATGATACTCCCCCACAAACAGGTTTCTCTCAGCAGCCGTCCGCAGACTTGCACCGCTTTGCAGCCGCGTCTTTTGAGTGCGATTGGAAACCATGTTCAACCATACTGTTTCAGCTGACTTTTCCACCTTGCGGTTTTTCGCCTTTCTTCCCATCGGGAAATTGAGTGTAACTGAAAACCAATGTCAGAGTGTGTTTCGCTCAGCCGTCCCACTCGGGTGCTGAGTGTGATCCCCGTCACTGGGGCGCTGTTTCATTGGGTAATCATTAACTGAACTCACTACCGCTCACCGGAATTTCACTGGAATTCACCTCCACTTCCACCGACTTAACTGCCACAACGGCCGCCGGGCCTAAACACGGGACCTGCCAGTTCGCAGAGTTTGCACATTCTTCTGCATGGTCTTGCATGATTTTGCGAATGTTTTCCTCAAGCAGAGCGATTTGACTTTTTCAGCAGTTTAATTCGATTTGCATGAACACACTACAACACCACATACACCTTTCCACCTTCAAGCGCTGAAGCTGCTGCCACTGAGCTAGTGAAGCTCTATGTCCAAAAAGGACACAACCCAATTGCTTGCAGCCGGTTTTTGAAAGGAAAAAGCGCCGATTACGGCGATCTGTGTGTGTCACCCCCTGTGCCGAAGGGTTCGCCACCACATTCACCTTCACCACTGTTTCACAAGCAGGGGCGTCAGGCTCGATACACCTACCTGACGCAATGAAGCTCTGGTGTATCGAGGGATGGGTGGACTGATCATCCACCTGTACCTGCTTCAACGTTTGAGCAAGCTGTTCCAATCTTCCTTTTTTTGATTCCATGGTGGTTCATGATACTCCCCCACAAACAGGTTTCTCTCAGCAGCCGTCCGCAGACTTGCACCGCTTTGCAGCCGCGTCTTTTGAGTGCGATTGGAAACCATGTTCAACCATACTGTTTCAGCTGACTTTTCCACCTTGCGGTTTTTCGCCTTTCTTCCCATCGGGAAATTGAGTGTAACTGAAAACCAATGTCAGAGTGTGTGGATGGGTGGGTGGGTGCAGATTGCTCCAACCACTGGGTTTGGCAAGTGTCCTTCTTCCAGGGGGATCATTCCAGACTGGGAGGTCACTTATATGTATATATATATATATGCATTATATATCTAAAAAACAGCCATGTACGATTATTACATTCTCCGATTTGACCCACGTGCGCACCGGTCAGGACAAAAACCTCCGACGAACACCGCCACGCCACGAGTGGACCGTCCCAATTCTACCAGGACCATCTGAGAGGTGTCACACCGACCTGCCGTTTTCTCTTTTGCAACCCTAACGGATGCAGTTTCGCCCAAATGTGAAGACGAAAAACAACACACCTACAAAATGCCGAGAAAAACCAGAGAGCATGGGAACATTGAAGAACCCCCCTGCAATCTTCAGGCGGTGTCAATTTCCTGCCAAGCCATTCCAGCTCAAAAACTGACCACCAATTCATGATCTGCCAATTCCAGGACCTGCCCCAACTCCTCATGTGGCCATGGGTCAAAGCGGGGGATGCAGGTCAACCGGCTCAACCGGTGCCACCTGCCACCTGCACCCTCAAAACAGCTTTACCAGACCCCGGGGACCGAGACCTCACATGCAACTCCAACCTCCCAAGCGGCAGCTTCTTGATCACCGTCATGGACTTCCGAAAGCGCAGGATCCGCACGAAGCGCGCGACCCGCACCAGGCGCCGGGCGCGCAAGGCACGCAGGATCCCCGAGGCGGAGCCCTCCTGCGGTGGTCGTTTTGGTCGGATGCCAAAAATGGGTGTTTTTGGGCGGAAGGAGAGTGAACCATTCGATTTGTTGGAGGGGTTGTTAAGTGGGAATCCGTCCCTGACTCCCTCTCATTCACAACTCAGGGAGCCTTCAACTCAACGAAAAAAAACATGCTGGCCCACGACATGAGAGTGGTGAGGATTCACGTCTTGGATGTGCTTCAGGAACTGGGTAGAAGGGATCCGAAGGGATGGGCCGATAGGGAAAATATGGGAAAATAACCGAAAAAACCAGGGAGTACACCTTGACACTTGGGGGTCCCAACATCCCGACTACATCTCTCTAGGTCGAGCAGGCCGAGAAAACGCACCGAAATCGCCAGGCTCCTCTGCATCGCCAGGCTCCAGTAAGCCATTCACAATCACCAAAGCTTCAGGTGCTAACATGAGCCTTGGATCTCGTTCACATGACGTACCATGACCGAGGTCCGTTATGGTCCAAGCACATAGGTCACGTATGGTCACGTAATTGGGCGTGTGTCAGACAGAACTGAGTATCCCAAACTACAAGATGATCAAAATGAATCAAGGTGATTGAAGCGTCCCATTCTTTTCTTGGGGTCGGGATGCCGAGTTGAGCCAAAAACCACAGCCATGTGACCTGGAACTGATGTCCCTGTGCCCCCTCCCTGGGACGGGCACCAAGGCGCACCGGTGTGACATCATTCCATCCGGGAAAAGGCGCGTCGTTGGGTCACAGGAGTTGGCTACTATTGGGGACTGTTGGGGAAGATGCTTGCTCCATACAAGAAAAAGATCTGTCCAAGGTCCCAGCCCGTCTTCCCAAAAAAAACTCGCTGCAGTCACGACCATCCGAGATCGCAGCTTGGGGGCATATCAAACCAAAACCAGGATTTGAGATATGCACGGGCCACGTCCGCCAGTTTCGTGTGCAAAATGTCATTGATGTAGACGCCGGTGAAGAAGGAGGCCGGAACATCTAGCAACCAGTAGCAGGTAGTCACCCAATGAAGCACATCCGACACACCTGCCACAAAAGAGGCGTGTCACGGAAGGGGTTTGTGGCTTTTGGAGAGCTAAATTCAGTGACTTTTGATGGGAACTGAGAGGCCTTGCTGGAACCTCCAGCCTGGCAAGCCAAAACATGAGAATCACCCGACAACAGGAGCTCTTTTGGTTGGAGTCCTTGTTTTGGGAAGCAAATTGCTTGAACGTTTTTGGATTCCCTGTTTTGGAGCCCTCTCATGAGCCATTTAACCCCACCAGAGCGAATCCGGGGCCGCGCGCCTCGGAAGCCTTCGCTGATGTCGTAGACTTGCAGAGGAGCGGTGAGAATCTCAACGAGTAGCACTACCATGGCCAAGCAATCCCAAATCATCCTGGGGTAAACGAACTCTCCGAGCTTAAGCTGGGGGAGAAGCTGGGGGAGAAGCGAGAAGCTGGGAGAAGCGACGCCAACTGCCAGTCAGCCAACTGCCCTCTTCTCTCAAGAGACCAGGCCCTTTCTAGGTGGATCGCTTTGAGAATATCTTGAGACGAAGACCGTCTGTGTGTGTGGCGATCTTGATCAAAAACAACCCGCCCACAAGGTAGTTGCGGGATGGGTGCTTGTGTGGTCAAGAGAAGATTGAAAGTGACTGAAGATCATCATGGTGTCCAAGTGGTGGCCCAGCAGACGACCATCGCAGTGACCGACCAACCAAGGGCATCCACGTTCCCGGAACTAATCATGGAAGTGGAAATCACCACCTGCAAGCGTAGCGGTTTCCAAGGGGAAAATCCAAGGATAAACATCCACGTCACGTTCTGGTTCTTTCAGTGATTTTGGACGTTTGAAGAGTCTAGATTCCCCACGTGACCCACGGTGTGGACGGAGACCCCACCAGACCGCTCCGCAGCACCGCGCTCCGCGGCAGCTCTCCTGATGGGCGCCTCTGGGCGGATGGCCCAACCGGGAACCCTTTCCGTCTGACAGCGGTACTTCTTGCCACCACCCGTGTCCTGGGCGTTTTTTTCGCGCGGTCTGAGCGGGTCGCTGGGGTGGGTTTGAGAACTGCCCAGGCTGAAGGCGGTCAACTCCAAGGTCCACAGGGTGGAACTGCAGTGCCCACTATGGCCATAGCTGGAATTTCAAGTGCTGGCAGCCCAGTTGGTAGTTCAAATAAGTCGTTTCTTTCCTTCATCAGTCAGCTGTGCAAGAACCCAAAGATCCTGAATTAGTCAGGTAGGAGGAAACAAGAAAAGTACAAATATACGCAAATATCAAATACCCCTCACCGATCGATTCCGGCAGGTCCAGGATTGCGCAGAAGGATTTCCGACAAATGGTCACATGAAATTCCCTGGGCACGACGGTGTCTTGCAAAATATTCACCATGTCTTGCAACCTATTTAGGCGGATGACACAAGCCCACCGGCCATGACCAACTTAGATGGGGATCAAGAACCAAAGGTTTTTCCAAGTTGTTGTTCCACCCCTAAACAGAAGGGCTGCAAGAGGCGCATTTTAACGCGCAGGGCCGCTGGCTTGGAATTTGCCGGGTCTTTCTCTCCAGCTCGGTGCAGTCAGGCCTCGCCCGTCGCCAAGCGTGGAGAAGTCACCGCGTTGTTCTTCTGCAACTCTTGGAGGTCTTCGTCGCGCATGGCCCACATCTGCCCAATTTGGAAGGAAACATCCTGAGGTCTTCAGCGGTGAAGGAAAAGGAGAAACTATCCCGGCAAGAGGCTCCAACCAGCGCTTGTAGGTCTAGAGGTCTAAGGTCTAGAGGTGTAGAAGCAGAAAGGTGTAGAGATGCACGCGTGCTGGGCTCCAGAGTTCTAGAAGTCTAGAGGCCCAGAGGCCCAGTGGAGATAGAGGTCTAGAAAGATCGAATCAGAAACGCCCACACGAAGGCCTAGTAGTAGCGTTCTAGAGGTGGGCTCTAGGTATGAGATCCAAAGGTCTGGAGCTCAAGAGGCCCTGAGGTCTTGAGCAGAAAGATGTATAAGTCTAGATCTGAGGTCTTGGACCTCTAGACCTAGGGGGCTAGAACCTAGAGGTCTGTCCATGAGATCCAGGTCGTGAGATTCAGAGAGATCTCTAGACTTCTATATATATATATATATAGTGGTCTGGAACGATGCAAAGGCCGAGGTCTAGAGCTCAGAGGGTAAAAGTCTTGGACCCAGAGAGTTCCAGAAATATCAAGAGTGATCTGGAGACCTAGGGGCCTGGAAGGCACACACATGAGAGCACACATATGGGAGCACGCCACGAAATCTGCACTTCTGGGCTGACTTTGGACCACCAAAACACAAGGCTTTCCTTGTGCCTGCCACGCAAAGTGACCACCAAGTCCGAAAAGGTGCACGGCACCACAACGAGAGCGCAGTCGAGGAAAGCACCCGCTCGCGCACAGCAGATCCTGCAAGCCTGCGCCGTCGAATGAAGAAGCCATAAATAGCAGCGAATTTGCCGGACACGGATGCGAGCACCTCCGATCATACACCCGACCTTAACATCAACGTAAGAACCCCTAGTGTGACCACACTGCTCTGGGGAATAAAAGGAAAGCGGGTAAGCCGTTGACGTGAACCACCCGAAACTGGGGTATGATGCTATCCCCAAACCACTTTTGGGGCCAGCGTCGAGAAAGTCAGCTTCAAGAAACATCATGCCTCTGGATGCCTAGCTAGGCCAGCCCGTGGCCTCTTAAAACAACTACATAGATATGATTAAATACAGTGACAGTTACAGCCCCCCCCTGCAAAAGAAAAACGGAGGACCCCAACGTGCTCAAAATGATTTGGCAACTGGCCTCAACTATCTATCTTATCTATCTATCTATCTGTCTATCTATCTATCTATCTATCTATCTATCTGATCTGATCTGATCTAATCTAATCTAATCTAATCTAATCTAATCTAATCTAACCAACCTAAGCTAAGCTAAGCTAAGCTAACTATCTATCTATCTATCTATCTATATACCTACCTACCTACCTACCCTCACACTCCAATATCTTTACCCTGGGATGTTTGTTTTAAAGGGGTCAACCCATAGGAAAGGATTTTGAATACCTTAAGTCAAAAGGTTCCCATTTCACTTCAGATTTCCAGCCAGCCTATCACAAAATAGGCGGGTAGACAACCCCAAGAAGATAAACAAAAGGTAGATATAGTTACATTACACTAGAGAACAGGGCAAAGCAAAACAGGGAATTGTTTCAAAAGAGCCAATGCTGCAAAGGAAATACTTCTAGGACCTGAAGCAAAACAGCATCCATGTTCTTTCAGTGTTCCAGCCAAACTATCCTAACAGAGGGGCAGGTAGACCATCACAAGAAAACAAGCAAATGTCAAAAGTTGTATCAAAGAAAAGGCCCTTGCAAGGAAGGCACAAGGGAATCCAAGAAAAAAAAGGTGAATCCATGCACATCGATAACAAAAATCAGCAGGTGGCCAACCACAATTCCATTGAATTGGTGGGAGTCCAACCTCACACGCTCGTTCATACGCACACGTATCTCGCCAATCCTTGCCACCTACAAAATCTACAAATTATGCTCGTCCAACCGTGCAAGCTGGAATGCTCACAGTGTTCATCGAACTAAAATAGTGATCTTCTTTATAACTGGTGCAACGGGTCCTACAACATCTTACGACCCAAAACCGAGTGCGCCTTGGGCCCTTGATGTCCTTCATGTCCTAACACCCTTAAACACGGACTTGTGAGGCCTGGCCGGTTGCCCAAGCAAATGGTCAGCCTCCGCTTGACGTCGTTTTCACATTGCGCCGCACATTCCACGCCCGTTGGAACCCCGTTGGCACGAAGCCATGGAAAGGAGGGTCAACCCTGGAACGCGCTTTTGGTTTCCCACCACCGCGCGATGAGGAGACTCTTCCAATACGATTGATCAGTAATGGTTCCGAAGAACATGGAAATGAGAACCTTCAACTGAGGACTGTATGAGACATAAGTCTCGACCCAAAATTTCTCAGCTTGAAACATTAAGACCCGTTAAGACCAACAGCATCAACACCCAACTGCCTCCAACATTGGCACACACCCCTCTGAACCCTCAAGCAACACTATTTCTAGCCAGTGCTTACGGAACTCCCTGTAGCTCCTTCGCCCCCTGTTGACTAAGAGAAGACTTGGCAAGACTTCCCTCTGGCTCCTGGTCACTGAAAAAAACCATATACAGGCCCCTGCGAGACGCGACACGAGACGCCACACCTGCGAGACGAGACCGACGGAGACGGTCCAGCCGCTCGGAGGCGAAGAGAACACGCTTCCGGGTCCGAGGCACTGAGCTCTGCAACAACTGCTCCAGGTTGGTGGTCTTCTGCCGCGCGCTTTGCACCAAGCTCCTTGAGAGCCGCCGCTCCACCGAGGTCTGCCGATCCAGGCTGCCGCGCCCCTCCAGTGGGGACTCCGAGGGATTGGGATATTCGGCCAGGCTCACGGTGAGCTGATTCGAAGAGGCCTGGAGGGGGTTTGCGGTCTGAAGTCGACGACGTCGGTCCAGAGTCGACGACGTCGGGGTCGGGTGACACTGAGAAAACACCAACACAGAAAGCAAATGTGAACTCTCAAGGAATATGCTCATCAACAAACAACATGCAATTGTAGGCGCAACATCTTTAAACAAAAAAGCCGTGATACACACACACACACACACTATGCTTCAAAATGGCTACGAAGAGTCACAGAATATGCGGCTCCCAAGCGGCTCCCAAATGTTTCCAACACCTGCCAACACACCAATCGACGGGCATGTCTTGAATTTCGTCCCACAAGGTTGGTCAAACCCCGCCGCCGAGCTGGACTTGTGCTTCCCCTTTTTGCTCGTCCAAGTCTTCTGCAACCTCAGTCCACATGTTCGAAGTGGCACCGCTCCACACGCAGGTGGGAAGTTGGGGAGGTTTGTTTGATCTAGGGGTATTGAGGGTTACGTGTTTGGAGCTACGGCTCTCACCAAGTGCTTCATGCAGTAAACCTCCAAACTGCTTAGGATTTTCGCTGCAACGTTTCTGCTGGACCTGTCCCGTCACCCGTTTCTGCCAGCCCAGTCACGCAGGCGCTAGCTTTGTCCGTGCATCCGTCGTCTGATTCGTCTGTGCGTCCGTTTCATAGATCTGGAGCAAGCGCTCTTGCAAGACCTGACAAGTCAAAGACTGAGATGGAGATGTGGCTGGGCGCTCCTGAGGATCAAATGATTGAAAATGCGGATGGTTTCGGGGGGGGCACAAAAACATCCTTTCAAGGCAGAACATGTCTGTCAAACTTCAGAACAAGCTAGCTGGGAATGGGAGGCCCAGGGAAGTGATCATCAGGTGATCCTTGCTATCTTGAGATCGATCTGACTCGTCGAACCCACCACCTAAACCTAAACATCCACCGCACATAAGACCCCAGAAGGGATGATGTTTCAAAAAAGTGGGTGTCTAACTTGCAGTAATTACAAATCACTGACCGGCATCTTTTCTACCCAAATTTTCCCTGCCCCACCTGGATTTGCCCGAGGATGTCGTGGAAGTTGCACCCCGACGAGGCAATGGAGCTCCGCCGGCGCGTCAAACGCGGTGTGTCACGCGCGGCGTCACGCGGCGTGGGCGGCTCGTCCTCGGGCAAGGTCAACACCGCGGGCACCAAGTACGGCGCCTGCGCCACGCCTTGCGAGCCCTGCAGGTCCTCCCCTGCCATGGGGCACGACACAGCCGGATAATGATTAGCGGGCAGAGCCCCACAAAATGCCGTCGCTGGGTGTTGCCTCTGGCTGCGGCGAAATCTGGCCACATGAAGGCGATTGCTTATTGCTCCATCATTGTTCGGTGTGCCTTAGGAGAAGAGGGTGCAGAGTTGCACCAGTCTTGTTTCTTTTGCTCCTGTTGCCTGAGTTCCTGGAGCCAATGAGCCAATGAGCGTAGCATCAACAAGAACAGGCACAGTATGTAGGGGCAGCTTTGGTATTACGATGTGTTATGTGTATGGCTGGCCCTGCTCAGCAGAAGGACCAGAAAGGAGGTCGTCACTCTGGTCTGGCTTTAAGAGTAAACATCCCACCCATGCCTACAGGTCAGTTTGGCCTCATGGAAAGTGGAGTCGATCATCCAAAAACACGACAGGGACGGAAAGTTTTAAGGGCATTTAAGGACCAGGCTTTACGGAGTCACACTAGGCACTGTGGGAAACAGTGGATGACATCGCAGGGAGAAAAACCGCCGCGTCATCCGCACCATCCGCACCATCCGCGCCGTCGACACGGCGCGAGTTGGTTGGCACCTGGTGCGAGTTCAGTGGCATCAGGGTGTGGTAGGGAGTCGGTTGTGGTCACCTCAAGCGCTTGGCTTGCATCAAACGCGGCAGCGAAGTGGAGCAGAACCTCGCCCAACACTGCTTAGCCGGAAACTGTGGCATCAAGAACGCTCAGAAGAGTGAGTATAGCAACTTGGCAGCGCTCCTCCGGCTTTTCTCCGAAGGGTGAGACCGCTTCGACGCGTATCCGGCAGCAATGCCGCAACTTGGACCCGTGGGGCACCGCGCACATCTACATGCTCGTCCAGAGCTACAGTCTCTCTCGGGGCATCGGACACCCAAGCCATCACCCCAACCTGGTCGCCCAAGACCTGACCTTCAACTCCTCCCCGAGCAGAAAGATGCAGAAAGAACCGGCAGCCCAATCACATGAAACATTCAGAGTCTATTTCTTGGATGCGTGTCGTGGCCTATGTGGAATCACCCCTTTTCCCACCCAATTTCTGGTCAGACTATCAGGTCAGGAGGGTCACCGGATTTGCGGGCGACCATTACTTTGCACATGCTAAGTTGAGCTCATCCAGTGTCCATTTAAGAAGCGTATTGATTCGCTTCCTCAGTTGTCGATCCTTTCACATGATTGTTCTTCCCAATGATGATCCAGCGAAGCTGACTTGCACGGACCTCTACCATTCTCAGATTGGAGTTCCACACCTTACTTGCTTATGTGGTTTACTTTACTGTACTTCACATTACTTGCTTTACTTGCTTACCTAGCTTACCTTGCTTGCCTTACTTATCTATTAGTTACTTGCTTGCTTGTTTGCTAAGTAACTTATACAATATATATATATATGCTTGCTTATTTCCTTACTCGTCTCTCTCTCTCTTACTTACCTTACTTACCTTACTTCTTCCTTTCTCTTTCCTGATAGCTTTTGACCAGTTTTCCACAAACGATACTGTCCAATGGTCATTATAAACATGCATTCTTCAAATCGTCTAGCCTTGCAATGATTTGAACCCAAAATAGCATCTGAGACATGTGAATCATCAAAACCAGGTGCCTGCATTGACGTTGTAGACCTTGACAATAGGAGGATTTAGAAATCTATAATCTATTTGTAATTTGGTTTTGTTTGATTCTGTTTGATGTGTTTAACACCCGGAACGTCTGCCGACAGCCTACTGTTCACCAGAACCTCTTAGTGCCACATTGGTCCACTGGCCAGATATCACCATCGCAATCGTCCGCTTGAGCGGAATGGCGAAGCGTACGAGGCGTTGAAGTCCTTCGAACATCGTCGAAACTTCTGGAAAATCAGGCAGCTTCCCAGGTCCACATCCAACAACTTTGCCAGCCGGCACATGTCATGGTTTCCCCTCGGAGGCCCTTTTTTTGTATGCCCACTTGGCTGAAATGGGAGTACAACTTGAAAAGTCCGGAATCCATCCATAATATTATAGTACACCGCGAAAAAAGTAAGAGGCGCAACTCCAATCATGCGGAGAGCGCCATCTACCCTACCCAAACGTCAAATTCAGACCACTGCCAAAAATCGCGGTTATGGATCCGTGACTGATGAGATCTTGAAACATTGCGCCATCTACTTGCATTGCCAGTCACTAGACAAATGCTAATGCTACTGTAAGTTCATGATTCTTTGCAAAGATGAGGCCATTCCATGATATGCACTCTTGCCCCTCTAAAAAGTATTGAGCCATCTACTCCCTCATGATTTAGCTTTGCAGACGATGGGTGAACGAATACTAAAAAATCACGAAACCTGACAAAAACCACCTGTTTTTTTCCCAAATTCAACCTTAAGACAAAAAAATCGGGACGGCTCGATTTCAACAATCACCTTTGATCGAGTCTACTCGCGCCGTTTTTGCTTGGCATCCCTTGTGTGGAGTAGATGGCGCAACTCAAGGAGCGTACAATGCCAAGTAGATGGCGCAACTCAAAAACCCTGTGCCTTTTACTTTTTTCGTGGAGTAGTATATATATATATAGATGCCTTTTTGGACCGGGACTTTCTGAGCCTGTGCTGCACACCTCTGTGTAATGATTCGGCGCTTGCGGCAGCTCTTGATTCACAGCGGAGCTCCAGGTTTGCAAATCACATGTTTCTTGTGTAGTAGTTCCGTGCCAATGTCATTCCAACATAATTTTCACAATTGGAAAAACTCTACTCTTGTTGGTTAAAGCTCCCGTTCATCGACCAAAACGAGACTCTCAGCCTCGAAACGCCTCAACAGGCTCCCAAGACCTCGAAAGCGATTTTGAGCCCCGTGATCCACGGGTGGTTCTTCATTGGCTGCGCTCGCAGACCAGCACCGGGGCCGCTTCGCCAGCTTGAAACCCTTTGGGGGACGGCGCGCGCGCCACTGGCCAAGCCCTTCCTGGCTGCTAGTGATGATCTCGACATGTGAACTCGAACAGCCCTGGTCCCCAACATCCGCTGAATCCCACGATAGAGATCAGTGTTGTGCACTCCCTGGAATACAAAAATCATGGAAGTGGAAAACCTGTTTGTAGAGGAAAACGGCCATCCAAGGGCCATTGTTCACTGCCATGATTTGTCCGGGGAAGGTATCTGATATCAGCTTCTCGTAGACAGGTCATCAACACCACAAGCAGCCTGAGACAGTTCATCCGATTCCGTCAATCGAGCTCAGGTTGAACTCTGTCTTGGTGGCGCTGTTCCAGAAGAAGGCTCGCTATGCTGGCGGAGGTCCTGGTGCTGGTCTATTCACCAAGTTGGAGAAGGGTCCGAAACAACAACCCACCGGGGGGCTGCAAGGCAAAGAAGTCTCGTCCGTTCATCTAGTCCCTGCCAGGTACAGCTCACATGGAGAAGAAAGACCAGGAAAGGAATGTGATAAAGCACGCCCTACCCTACTAGGACCTCCAAGGCCACACTATGTAGCCAAAGAGGAAGGTGCACTCCTTGGAAGGCCCTGGTGTGTAGAAGGTGCGGATTAGCCCTCATTCCGCTGAACTTACCCCATCATCCAACACCCTCAGCCCCGAAAAGACCCAAACCCACCCGCCAAAAAAGAGGTGTGTGTATATATATATATATATGTGTGTGTGTGTGTGTCTCTTTCTCTCTCTCTCTCTCTCTTGGGGTGAGGCATCTAATCGCACGAGAAAGCCCCCAAGCAAAAAGAAAGAACGCCCCGACCCCAAGAGGGACGTTCTTTAACGCACCCCAAGAACGCCCCCACCCCCACTCGTCTTCTTCGGTCCCTGCTCCGAGCTGCGTGGGGTTCACGTCCACCTGGTTCACATCCAGTGGCAAATCTGAAATCTGGTATGGCGGCAGCTTGTTGATCGCCTCCACAAAGCACCGTGCGTACACCACGGCGGTCGCCTCGCTCTTTGGTTTGGACATCACACAGCTGCAATCGGAGAATCGGAATCGAGTGATTTGGATTGAGGGGGGTTTGAGGGGGGCGGTTGAGCTATCCCAGATCCATCCATGCGTGGAATAGCATATTGGTTGCATAGAGTCCTGGCCCTAGCTATGTTCTTGTATGACCCTAATGTACAGTAAGTACTTTCGGAATCAAACATGGACGGTCCCTTGCTTTTCGAGTGAACACCCAAGACCGGAAGACCCAGCCTGCCACTTCCTGGCACCAGGTGAAAACGTCTATGGAACCGATTGTGGAACACTTGGGCAACTGGACCATGCGATAAGTCGACCATCTAAGAATCTAAGGCCTTCCATCTAAGGGGAGCCGAAAATTGAAGCTGTTCAGCCGTGGGATGGGAAAAAACGCGTACCGCTCTTGCTTGGCTCCAAATGCGGTCCGCTTCACCAATGCATCCGCATGATCCTGCAGTACCAAGTAAACTTCTCGGGTCGGCAAATGCAAGGCCCGGCTTTCCACCGTCGCTTCCAGTCGCCCATGGTGTTTCCTCAGGCCGTTGGATCGCCTACACTGTTGTTGGCATGTGACGGTGCGCTGGTGGAAGGAAATCATCAAAGAACATGCATGTGTGCGTGGCAACCGGCTCTCTCGCCAAACAAAGCTCATCCAAGCACATGAGACCCTACAATGTTCTCCCAGCAACTAGTTCCACGAGCAATTGGGGTGGAAATCACATTTTGTGCGTATGGTTTCCCAAGGTGTTTCCCTATGATTTCCCAGGACAGATCAAGGAAAGCAAAGGAAGACAATGGGTGTTTAGATTTTTAGAGAGCACCCTTAGGAAAGGTACAGTGCAAGCCCTCTATGAATACTGGCTCCATGGCATGGGTGATTCGAGCAGCAAGAACGCTCACGTCGATCACTGAGGATCCAAGACTTACCACGTTCCATGAGGGGGGGGTCCACGACAAAAGTTCGGGGCACAGCAGAGGTGCTTTGCTGTAAAGGATGTGTCCCGTATGGTCCATTTGCGTCAATTCACAGCTCAGCTTGCAAGCAATGTGATTGAAACGATGCTTGGTGCAGTAACTTCAGCATCGCAGCTGTTCATCACTGCAAAAAAATTGCGTGGACACCAAAAACAAGAGACAGAGAGAGAGAGAGAGAGAGAGAGAACACATTTCGGAAAGACCACAGTACGTGTACCACATGCCACTTGTACATTGTACGGTCATGAGTTGTCCACTCAGAAAGCCCAGCATCCACCCTCTGATCCACAAGGATTGCTCACTGACATATTCTCCAGATGAAATTCCCACAGGATGATTGGCGTCTTGGAGAGCCTTCAATTGTCCTGCCCAGATGGTAGAGAGGTCGTGGGACACCCATCCCTCAGGCTGGACCTGCCCGGGACCTGCCAAAAACCTCCCATCATTCAATCATTCCCAAGCGCTTAGAATTTTGCAAACAAAGAAACACTGTTCGATCTATATACTTCCTCTACTACTTCACAAACCTTTGTCTTCGTCCACGCACATTCCACCATCGAAAGGGGACCGAAACGCACCAGGCAACAGAGCTCAACATGGAAGATGGCAGGCCCCTTGGATGACCACGAAATCCTCTACAAACAGGATCAAAGTCCGTGGTTTTCGATAGAATTCCACTTCGATGATTCCAGGGAGTGCGCTTTTGGCGGCAACATCTGAGGCTGCCTCTGGGGTGTCCGGATTTCTGCAGGGGCCGCAACAAACCGCCCACTTCTAAAGCAGCTTTCAGTGAACCCAACATCCCAGGTCCTGCAGATTCATTCGACTTACGATGCCCGTGATTGGTGAGGACGTTGAAGAACATGGAGGACGGCAAGGCCTCGTCCTCACCGCGAAGCTGTGAATCTGAACCATCTGCCCCGGAGATATAACCAGCAGCCCCTGCAGCAATGATGTAGATGCCTTGGCCCTTCCTCGGCCAACTGGCGTTTTTTCTTGGAATGGGGTGCACTCGGCCAAGGCCGCAGGTCGTTTAAGAAACGCGTAGAAGTTATATATATGGAATTACCAATTCTGCTGAAATGTCTGCCATGATTTGGAGTTGGATCGCTGAACTATTGGTTGCACAGACTTCACTGAAAAACCACCCCAACATCACTTTGCAAGGATAACTCTGGTAGCTGAGGCTACCTCTCACCATTGGTTGATCCAGATGCCTTGTTCTTCTTGACCCCCTTCGATCAACAAAGCCGATCACCGACAAACGAGATGAGGTCTGTGCCGTGATGGATTTCCAGGTCACCCGGTGGAAAGCTGAGCGCATTCAGCCATGAAAAATACAATTCGATCACACAGAAAAACTGGGCCGACCCCGGTCTAGGCCGATGAACCTGAGCGTGAGCGGAGCGGGGCCAGTGTTCCTGTTGAGGGGCTCCGGTGTAGCGGTGGGCGATGGCACTCAGCCGTCAACTTCGCAAAGTTTGGCCGCTTCGTTGACATTTGTTCGTTTTTCTTGTCTACTGAGTCTACTGGGGGCCGTCTGGGATTCTTTTTCGGGAAAAAGCGGTGTCCAGGGTCCCAGACCCTGTTGGGTGGGGCACCCGTTAACCCTGCACACGGGGAGGTGCCGCACGTGCGCGCGCCCACTGGAGTAGGAGTGGAACAAACAGAGCATAATTTGAGCGATGGCCTCCACCTTAGAAGTGAAGGCCTCCAACCAAAGAGCGACGGTCTCCAGTCTGAGATGTTGTGTGTAGTGTTTTCCGAGCAAAACCCAAATCTCAACACAATACCGACATGGTCGACGGGTCACCTCACTTGACTCCCCGCGGCTCCCCTCTCATACGTCGGCGGCCGCCCCGAATGGGGCCAGCAGCCCGTGTTGGTCGCCAAAAGGCCCAGGCCGAAGGCCTCTACCTTTAGGTAAAAGGGGGTCCGCCCCCGGTTGGGATACGGGTTTGGATGGATCAAAAAAACGGGGGCGCCCTCATGGAATCAACATGTCTATTTTCAAAAGCCAATGGTGCGAGATATGCTGCCCGAGTAGCCTTGCATTATCTGCATGTTGTGTTTTTGGTTGTTATTCTTTGGGTAGCCCTTGGTATGCTTAGGCATACGGGCTTAACAGGTGTTTAGAGGTAGGGGTTTAGTCAGGGTAGTCGCGGGCATCCAGCAGATCAGAAGGTGGGCTAAACAGCCATGAAAATCAACCCAAGATGGGTTTCAATGACCTGTCGAAAGGCTCATAAGCGGGGTTTAGCCACGCAAAATTGTTTACAATTCCCTTTTTTTGATCCGAATCATGGGCTGTGGCCACCTTGTCAACAGCACAGGCCTGAAAAAAACAACTGAAATCAAGAAATGACCAAAACTGCGCCAAACTGAATAGGTGGTAGGGAATAGGCCTGGGACTCAAGAAAGACCCTGTGAAGTCATGGTTAGAACAAAGCGAAATAAGTCAGGAACATTGTTGAAACAAAGCAGGAACTGATAGGTCGGGAATGGGTCGGAAATAGGTCGGGGCCCCAAGAAAGACCCTGCGAAGTCATGGTTGGAACAAAGCCGGAATAGGTCGGGGATAGGTCGGAAATAGGTCGGAATAGGTCGGGGCCCGAAGAAAGACCCTGTGAAGTCATGCTTGGAACACAGCAGGATTAGGTCGGGAATGGGTCGGAAATAGGTCGGAATAGGTCGGGACCCTAAGATCCTGTGAAGTCATGGTGAACAGGCAGGAATAGGTCGGGAATAGGTCGGAAATAGATCGGGAACCCAACTACAGCGGGATATAAGCATACTGGCCAGAGCTAATGACAATTAACATCATCAGGGTATGCTTAGGACCAATGTAGTAGGGTTCCCGACCTATTCCCGACCTATTTCTGCTTTGTTCCAACCATGACTTCACATGCTACTTCCCTTAGGAGCAAAATGCATCCTGTCAGCGTCAGCCCAGGCACAATGCTGTTTTCCGACCAACACATCGTTTCAACCACACGGAATGTCAGCGCGACATCAATGGTTTACAGAAACAAATTAAGAAGGCAGTGCATCTTGGAACCCACGAACCCCACTCAACAAGCTTGACTTCACATAATCAAAACTGCTGATGCGATAAAAGGCTTGGTTGCCCTGCGCGCGCAAAAGATTTTTTTGATTCATTTATCCCACCCGTGGCAATCAACAGATCGCCCCTTTGAGCTAGCAATTGTGTATGTTTGCGCCGCCTGACCCTAGTGAAGCATCAACCTATATAGAAGCAACACAATCACTTCAGCGAGCCGCTTTTGACACCAGTGACCCCTGTATCACGCAAACATTTTGCGCGTTTAGCCCCTGCAAAACATCGGCTCCAGCAAGTGAGAATACACGACCTGGCATTGATGTGATTTTATGCTGCCTGACCCTGGCGAAGTGCAATCTCGGAACCAACAGATCTCATTCAGCAAGCCTAATTACAGTCAAATATCTCCAACTTCCTTGCGACGCACCCTGCAACACCCTAGCGGGCCAACTGCGTAAGCATACCCGAAGTAGCTAAGGCGATTTTCGGCTATACAGTGCCTAAGCATACCAAGGGTTACCCAAGTTATTCTGCTTTTCATCTTCCAGACAAAGAGCGGCCACAAACATAATGATGAGAAGAACAACAACAACAACAACAACAACAACCACCACCACCACCACCACCACCACCACAACCACAACCACAACCACAACCACAACCACAACGAGAACGACAACGACAACGACAACGACAACGACAACGACAACGACAACCACCACCACCACCACCAGCAGCAACAGCAACAGCAACAGCAACAGCAATAGCAGCAGCAGCAGCAGCAGCAGCAATAACCACAACCACAACCACAACCACAACAACAACCACCACCACCACCACCACAACAACAACAACACCTGCTGCTGCTGCTGCTGCTGCCGCCATCACCGTACCAACACCCACACCGACCGCCTGCCAATGCCATCCTTGCATCTCCTCTGCTTCTACGGGCCTGCTGGCCCGCTGGTGGGCGACGCCGTTCCATTACCCCTATCGAGCGAGCTTGCTATATGGAGGCGCGCTCCATGCCGCCGACCCGCATTTCTACCATCACCCGGGCTCATGTGGCTTCGTCAAAAAACGTCAAAATAGATGAAAGTGATCAAAAATGGCCGCTGTAAAGCTTATAGCTTCAAAACCTCTAGAAAATAGAGCATTGAACCTGGAGACAAAAAGGACAAATTTTGGTCTCAGCAGGAAAGATGCAAATCCTTTGGTGCATGACTAGGCGCAAAGCACTGTAAATTACAGTGTTCTTTGCCACATGCATGTAGTTGATGAACAATGCTGTTCGTACTCTGGTGATGCCAATGGTGCTCGACACAATGTTACCTCAAAACTTCCTCTCCCCTTTGCATACTTTCCTCTCTAGAGATGAAGCTTTACAGTAGCCATTTTTGAACATGTTCATGTTTTTTTGCTTTTGAACTTTTTTCAATTAAATACATACGTCTTGCTGATGTAGCACCACCTGGGCTTATATGGCTTCTTCAAGTATCAGGACTTTGTAGTGGAAAACGCTGAACAAGTTCTATTTTTGCGCATACTTCTACCCCAAAATCTATCTGCGACGCAACGGTGGCTCCAACTCGCCCTTTGGGTGAGCGCGCGCCCGCGCCCGTGCGTTGTGGGCGCACGCGCACACTTGCTCGTGTGCGTGCGTGTGCGCGAGTGCATGTCAGCGAGTGTGCGTGCGGGTGCGGGTGCGGGTGTCCATGTGCGTACATGTGTCTGAAGCTGAGGTTGCCAGGCTTTTTCCATCAGACCCTCGTGCGCACACCTGTCTGGGAGTGTGTATGCGCAGGCGTAAGAAGCTGTGCTAATCGTCGGATTTTGCTGTGCAAAGAGCCTGCGTGCAGTCCCCCCAGGGGCGTCGCCGGTTGGCGAAGCCTGTCAGTAATCAAAGCAAATCAAGTGACTGATTCGCATAGAACATCAAGTCCCTCTCTAGAAGGTAGAGCTCCTTCACCGCTTTGTTGCACAGGTGCGATTCCATTACTAGGTTCGCGCTCCCAATCTCTGAAAAGAAGGGGTGGAAAGCCAGAGTCTTGGCACGGGCTTCGTGGAACAGCTCCACGACCAGCCCCTCAGGCAGTGCCAGCAAGAACTCCATATGGTTTTGGATGCTTGCACGCAGATGATCACGTTCCACGAGGTGCTTGATCTTCCGGGTGTGGCCTGCGGAGACGCCACATGCTCCACAGTACTTCCTCACAGACTCCAGAATCCTGAAGTGGCAAACAGGGAACATCGAGAGGCGAAGGGACCAGCACAAGCTGGTAAGCCCCCTTTCAAATCCATGCTCAAAATCCATCCCAGTCGATGATGATGGACCTCAACCAACAACAATAAAATGGTTTGCGAGGAGGTCGAAAAAATCCCTGTCCAGGGAAAAGAACCGGTTTCCGCCCGAGAATCTGTGTCATCTTCCGCGTTCGGCGAGCTGCATTGGCCATCAAATTGGTCAAGACGCTGACAAATAATGAGGAGATGATCAAAGCGATGCCGGTTGCGATGATGGCCAACCAGCGCTCGAAGGCCGTATTGAGTTCCACATTGCCCTTCAAGGAAGAGGCTGGCAGCCGAGACAAGGCCCACTCAACGCTTCGGAGATACTGGCGAGCAAAGCTGGCTTCATGCAACCCTTCCAGGCACACCCAGCCAGTGTCCACATCCCCTGCTAGGAACCATAAACCGGCCAGGAAATGCACGGCGATCATCAGGCAAAGCACCAGCGAAAGTACGGGCGTCAGTGTGGAGGAAATCCACCCGTGAAAGAACAATCTGAACTGCCTGTAGCAACTCCTCGCTTCACTTTGCAGTGCAAAACACACACAAAATAAGAATAAAAATAGAAAAGAAATCCCGCTGCTGGAAGACAAACACCGGCACCCACTGAAACAAAAAATAACAAACAGCAAAAGGCCAAAAGAGGACCTTTTCCGTCTTGGGCGGTGCAGGAGTTCTTGAAAACCGGAACTGATCACATTTTTCCGTTTCAGTCACTTGGCCAGCAAGTTAGCCCGGTAAAAATAGAACCGCAGCACCTAATCTTGGGATAAGGAAAACTTGCGAGAGGAAGGGCTACGACAAGGTTTGGGCTGGGTCACCAGGATCAAAATCTAGTCATGTCTGAGAAACATGTGACAATGTGCATATATGTGTATATATATATATATGACGTCTATGAAGGCAAAGTAGCTTGAATGGGAAGAGCTGACCCACAGCCCTAGTTCTTGTGACTTTCAGACCCCTTGGAGCACCTGTTTGCCTCATGTTGCCAAGCCTCATCTGCTTGATCAAGTTCATCGACTTCCGAAACCTCAAGACCTTCACAAAGCGCACCAGCCGCACCAGGCGCCGAGCGCGCAAGGTGCGCAAGACACCGGACACTTCCAGTTCGGAGCTGTTGGACAAGGTGAAGATGATAAACAGCTCCGGAGCCAACATGAGCCTCGTTTCCCAATGGATCTCCGGCAGCCAAGGTTAGAGGAGCCAGGGTTTCTAGGCAGGTCTATGGATCTGGTCTTTGGAACTGCTTAGCAGCTATAGTGGCACTTAGATCCACACGCGCGCGAGCGTTTTCTTGCGCGCGCGAGCGTTTTCTTTGGTGGCGATGTTCAGGGTTCGGAGATGAGCAACCAATATCATCCTATATAGAACCTCAGTGACTACTTTCTTGGGTGTACTTGAATTTTATGTATGTATTTGCTCATATGGCCAATACATTATATACAGTATGTGCATGTGTTTATGTTGTTTTTTATTTGCGCATTTGTTATTCGTGAGAGATGGCATCTAAACATGTTTTCCTGTGAAAGCAGTTGTCTCAATGCGTTCTGGGACAAAAATTTCTGCCAGTTGGTGGTCCTTGGTCATTCCGAGGAGGAGTGGGGATTGAACAAGTCCCTTCCATCAAAGCACCGAAAAAACCCGATCGCCGATCGGCAGTGACCATCGACGGCTGAAAGCTACCCATCCCCTCTTCTTACTTCCATGCTTGGGCTGCAGGGGTCACACTCGGATGTGAGGCATCGTGGTACGAGACGTGACGCATCATGTCTTTGGGGAAGTCCGGTCTGTCACAACCTTTGATTGGTGGTATTGTCAATCGCTGTGGTTTTGACATGTTTGGACACTGTTCTGCGAACGTTTGTTGCATGGCGCCGTGCCACGTAAAAAGAAGTGTGACGTATATTGACGGAACGGGCAACTTCTCATACCCCCAAATTTCACCGTTAGTCACGTATTTACACATAGGGTCCGGTATTGTATATATATATATATACTAGACTATGTATGTATATACCATTGTATACCTACCAACACCTTCCTACCTGAAAGCGGATTCCTACCACAGGAAAACACGCGGTCCAACCGTGGACCAGGGGCGACGCCGCGCGCACGTTTCACCGCTGGCTCTCGAGCCCACCCTGTCGGATGGAAAAGGGTCATGTCAAGTGAACCTCAAGCTTGCATCCCATACACTTCCTGACCCTTTTCGGTCTCATGTGTAGGGATCATAGCGAACAGGGGATTCCTCTGCATCCCATGGCCAATTAAATTGGTTGGCCAACTTCTTCAAAGCTGAGATGAAAGCAACCTCATTGGTTTCCATCTCTCGGACCTTTTGCTCGAGGATCCTCTTGTGGACTTTCCTGCCCGCTTCAAACTTTGGGTCGTGCACCAACCGCCATTTCTGGCGTTCTGAAAAGAACTGCAGCAGCATCTTCCACGCACCTTGCTTGGTAAGCGCATCGCCAAGCTGCGCATGGCCTCCGACCCATCGGAGCTGAGTCTTGGCCTTCACGGCCTGTGCCACCGCGAGCGTCAGCTCGTAGCCCGCTCTGCTGTCCTTATAGAGCGTCTCGATGGTCGCGCTCCCAATTTCGCTGAGAAGTAGGGACACCTCTGCCAAGAACTGAGGTCCTGACTGTGTGCTTCGCCAGCTCATAGTCCCCAAAGCTCCTCTCAGCTGAGAGATCTCCTGAGGATTCAGGGGGGTCTTTCGGGCTTTGTTCTTGTCAATGTTGATCTCCTCAAGCCACTTGAGCGAGTAGGCCTCTTGGTTGAGGACGATGCTCATGTCCTTGCCTTGCCGGAGTGAACAGCCGGCGAATTCAAAGGCTTCCTCCTCCCATTTTCCCCATCGGAACGACTTGGCCAGGATCTCCTCACGGCTCTTGTAGTAGTCGGACTGCAGGTCACCTGCTAGTAGAAAGTCATCCACGTGCAGTCCAGCCAGGCCGGCAATCTTCTTGTCGCCGTTCTCTCCAGCCTCAAAGAGCGAAAAGAGGCACTTATCACCTTTCAGCTGAGTCCACCCAGAAGCGGTCATCACCTCCACGCATCGCTCATACCACTTGCGAGGCGCATGAGCTAGCCCATAGAAGGCTTCTCGAACTCGAAGGGCTCGGAGGTCACCAGGCTTGGCACCGAAGAGAGCTGAAAGCTCCGGCGGTGCGAGGACGTTCAGCTCCTCGGACTCCAGGTTCGTGCCTGTCTGCAAGAAGGCAGACGTCACGTCACCGCTCTTGACGGTGAGGTGTAGTCCTGCCGCTGCCGTCAGCAGCAGGTTCCTCCCCAACTTTGACATCGTCGGGCTCGACGTCTCCACCTCCGTCAAGTTGTGGGCTTGGAACCCGAGGACCACCAACCGAGCCTTCGCCGAGTTGTCGGCTTTCCTCGTGAGCACCCATCGCATCTGCATGACCTTGGATGGGTCGAGCTTCGCCTCCTCCGCGGCCGTGAGATTCCGCAAAGCGCGGCTGATGGCCACCTGCGAAAGCTCCTTGGCCATTGCCATATCGAAGTCCTTCTTCTGGTCCAGCGGGAGCCGCATCCAGTCCACCTCCTTGCCTTTCTCGGCCATCTTCTTGCTCAGCCACACGGTGCCCCGTCGGCGGTGCCGATTCTTGGCCAGCCACTCGAAGTCATCCTCGTCAACGTCCAAGGTGAACACCACAAAGGTCTCCTCCTCCGGCTTCTTGTGGTCATTTGGTTTAGACTTGCCATGCTCCTCCACCGGGCGAAGTTCATCTGAGCTGTCAGAGCCAATGTCAGAGGGCTCTGAGATTGAGCTCGAAGATGAGTCCTCCTCCATCTCTTTCTCACCTGAGGTCGGTGCTCGTCTTCCTTCATAGAGGTCATAGATGAAGGTTTGACCGTTGCGGTCTTGATGATGCCCATCATGGCCACCAGGCAGGTCGCATTCTGGCACTGCGCACCTGTTCACTCCTGACTCACCTCGGAGTGGCATGTCATCCACCATCTCGGGACCACGTTCATGTAGTGCAGCTTGAAGACCAGTAGGGAGGTCGGTCGATGCGCTCGCCTGTTCTTGTAGTGGAAGTTCTCCAGCACCGTGGCCGTCAGATTCTCCCGGATGTCCATCATCTTTGGTCACCTGCTTGTCGGCCTTGCGCTTAGAGCCTCGGCTTTCTGCCTTCTTCACCTTCTTGGTCGGTTGATCCATTGGCTTCAGCTCAAAATGAGTCTCGCCAGTCCATCGGTCCGGAAGGTTGCGGACCACATCAACCGTGTCCGTGATGACCACAGGATCACCAGGAGGTAGTCCGTCTCCTCGCCGTAGAGGTTGGACATGTGTAGTCCTCTTGCCCGTGAGGTCATCAATGCTTACGGGGCAGTTCGTGGCTCGAAGCGGATTAAAGAGTCCAAGACGCGGAAGATGGTGATGTCGAATGAGAACGCGCTCACCATCGTCTTGCTTCAAGGTCCAGGTGTCGCTTTTATTCCGGTCAGAAGGCTCTTGCAGGACAGTGGATGGTGTCAGATCTGCCAATTGTCTCTCTTCTGAAGGGACGTCTCCAGACAGGTCCAGGTAGTAGCGCCCTTGAAAGCTTTGAAGAAGAGAGCTCACTGAGACAGGCTGTCGATAGATGGCTGCTCCTTCCATCACTGCTCCAAGTTCTTCTCGCCTTGAGACAGGTCGGATTTGGTTGACCTTAGCTCGGATCAAAGTTGAGCCAGAACTCATCCATGCTGTCGTGCCCTCCATGAGGATGATGCGGACAGGGCCGCTCCAATGCCCCTTCACCTTGCCAGGCTTGACCTTCTGGCGCCACACCATCACCAGTTGTCCATTCTTGTACTGGGTCACCCGTCTGCCAGTAGAATTTGCTAGTCGGCTAAAGCGATCAGCTGCTCGTTCTTTCTCGAAGGCCAACTTAGCACGTTCTCTCTCCTTCACAAGTTGGTTGAAGGCCTTCCGAGGGTCGATGTTCTGCAGCAGCTGCTCATCGTCCAAGACTCCTCCGCCATAGCCAAAAGCCCACTGGAACGCACTGAACCCGCTGGGTCCAATGTGAGAGTTCATAGCACTGGCCGCCATGGTGTAGAGCTCAGGGATCTTGAGGCGACTTCCTTCTCGGGCCAGTTCTCTTGGCGATCCCAATCGCTCCCTCCTCTGGTCCAAGAAGCCAATGAGCTTCTGCAGGCGCCACTGACAACCCCACTCCAGAGCGGTTGAGAAACTCCATGAAGGCGTTGGAAGCGTAGTACCTCGCTGCGTCCGTGAAGACCCATGTCGGAGTCGGGTAGGTCATCAACCATTTCGTCAATGACTGGATCACAGCTTCTGTCGTTGGTTCCCAGCTGCCGCCTTCATCGCCGCCATACTCCTGGAGGTGGTCTATCATAGTCAGACCTGAAGCTCGATCACGCCAAATGATCAGCTTATGCTTCTTGCCCGAGGGCTCCTCATGCTCAAAGACATCGGATCCCAGCTGAGCGAAGACAGCTGGCGTCTCCGAAGTGCTTGCTGGTGGTCGAGGTCTCACCTTGGCCGCTTCTGTGCATTCAGGGCACTCCAGCTTAGAAGCGATTTCGATCGCCCAGCCAGGGGATCCACGGGCCTTCAACAGCTGGACCAAGTTGCTCATCCCGGCATGGCCACTCGCTCGATGGACACGAAGCATCAACTGCTTTACGGCCTCCAGCTTCTTCCCCGTGGGCGCCGTATCCAGATCCAGTCGTCGTCGAGAAAGTGCCAGGACCTGCTCCTCTCCACCAGGAAGATCAGATTGAGGAACTCGCCGGGGTAGGTCACCTGAAGACACCACGTCCTTCTCCGTGACGGTATCCAGCAGGTAGAGTTCAGCTGCTCGCTCTAGGGAAGCGTCCTGACCTTGCCATCGATGCATCATCGCCTTGCAAATCGCTTGGCACATCTTTGGAGGGTAGTATGCCGAAGACTGTGCTGCATTGCCACGGCATTGAGCGTGTTCGTGACTGCGGTCACATCTCTTGTTCAAAGTCAGCCATAGCTCACGGCTGGTCGTCAGGATGGTCCAGGACTTCTTCAAGGCAACGCCCTGCCACTCCAAACCGTATGCACAGCCGTCGATGCGGACCCAGTAGATCTGCCGATGGTGCTTGTCCATGAGCCGCTTCAGTCGTCCTATGGCCTTTGAGCGCCAACCGGCCACTGCTGTTGTGGGCCATTCCCATGCCACATCGTCTCCACTTTCAAGGATCGGCTCCAGGGACATTGCCACTTCTTCACACCGGCGGAGATCTTGTCCTCGACCAGCGAAGGTCTCACTTGCTTCTCCGTCATATTGACCACTTGGGAGAGCTCTTCTGCCACGGTACTCCTCGAAGAATTGGATGCCATAGTGCTCGTCGGACACATAGGGCATGAAGATTTCGTAGTGCTCGTAGTGCGTGTAGTGGAATCTCTTCCATCCCAGGGTGAAGATTGTCGTGTTGGGCTCAATGATGTAGTGAGGGTATTGATGCCGTCATCAGCCTCCAGCCGATCTTGGCATGTCGTCCCGTCAGGGACATTCCGTTGCATCCGGCTCTTGATGCCTTGCAGCTTGCTCCACAGTGCTGCTAATCGCCCTTCTCCTCCTCCGTCTTCTCCGGATCGCTGTCCCAGATCTCCTGCACCGTCTCCTCGGAGTTGACACTCATGGCCACTGGAACCAAGGCTGCCGATGAAGTTGCCTTCTTGCCCTTCTCGATCTTCTCCGTCTTCGCACGAGTCATGGCATTCTTCATCTTCTCGGCTGCGATGATCTCCTCCTCCGGGGTCATGGGCTTCTTCGCAGGAGTCTTTGGTGCCGGCGATAGCGAGCGTCCCTTGGTCTCCTTGGATGGCTTCAGTGGGCTCGCCGTTGGGTAGCTCCCTGAGCACGAGGCATTGGCCATCATCGCCTCGCCCAACTTCTCGTCCGCTCGGACTTGCACTGTCGTCCGGCTGTGCCCGCCGCTCTGCACCAGCGTCCGGCCTCTGATCTCCATCAACTTCCCGTTGAAGATCTTCTCCGTCATCTCCGGGGCCGCAAACAGCGACTTCAGCTCCTCGAGCTCGACCTGATCGGGAGGCGGTCCCACTGCCCGTGTCTGACCGGTTGCCTTCCCTTTGGTCACGTAGCGAAGTCGAAGGCCGCATCGGCTGCATGCCTGCCACATCGCTGAGCCATTGGAGCGCTCTCGTCCCGGAAGATGTTCTCCACGGCATGGCCATCCCACTTGTCGGGGATCGTGATCCGAGGACTGTGGGCATGACTTCATCCTCTGGAGAGGAGACGTAGATGGCCTGGTGTACTCTCAGGCGCTGAGCCAAGATGCTGAGGCGGCTGGAAAGATCATCGTTTCCATCCTCTTGGACCATGAAAATTGTCCCATTCGCAACTGCAGACTGACATTCATCATGAGAGTGAATGGAATGATGATCCTCATGTTCATGACCAACTTGTTCATGTACAGGTGCATGTTCTCCGTGTGCATGATCAACTGGTTCATGTGCAGGTGCATGTTCTCCATGACAAGAAGCGCTCGTGACTGCACTTGACTCCATCGTTGAATCCTGACCTTCACAGCCTCGACTCGACTCGAGAATGCTTTCATGAACATGGGATTCACTGTCTTCGAGATCGATCGATGGATGTCTGACGATCACAGTGTCGGCCGCGTACGTTTCTCGGTGCTCAGAGGGAGTCTTCGGTGCGGGACGAACTGTTGTTTCAGCCGTCGGAGGAGGTGGTTCTTCTGGTTCAACCACCACAGGAGGAGAAAGGTTGGGACTTTCGTCCGACTCAACGTGGGCTCCCATCTCAGCAGCGCGGCCCATCCCAGAGGTAGTCGGTGCTGGAGGCCTCGTAGTTCCAGTTGCATGGCCCCTGATCAGGGCTGCTGTTGGATCTTCTCTTCGTCTTTTCGGCCTTCGAGCACCTGGGTCATCACCATCTGGGTCCTCATCGTCTTCATCACCATATGATGGTCCACCAGGAGGCCACTCAGTACCTGGGTTCGTGTTGAAGCGAGCGATCAAGAACCGGATCGGCGTCTTGGGAGTCTGCAGGTACAGGGTCAGGTGTCCACTCGGCAAGGGAGACAGTTCACTGCAGTACCAGTTGCCTCTCACGGATCGGTGTGCCATGTAGTCTCCATGGTATGAGATCACCGAACGTCGGGCCTTCAGCTCACGGGCTCCCAGCAATGGCGGTGTCATCTCAGCTCCACCATCAAGCAAGTAGAAGCCCAGTTCGCCCAGCGCTGGGGTGTAGAGGACAACTTTGCTGACCGCCCGTTGTGACTCTCCGTTCCCGAAGCGGAATCGTGGTCGATCACCAAGCTCCACATTGTAGAGGAAGTTGCAAGTGTCCATGAGCCTTGCCATCGCCCGGATGCCAGCCACAGACTCCGTCGCTCCGGTGTCGATGATCACCCGGCTGCAGGACATGTTGTCAAAATCATCCCGATCCGTCAGGCTGAGGACATAGACGTCGGGCACCCACTCCGCCTCGTAGTCGGTGAAGAAGACCTTGCCCTTCTTCCCCTTGGAGGCGCTCTTGCCCTTGCCCTTGCCGATGAAGGAACTCCTCGAAGAAGGCGATGATGAAGCTGCCTTCTTCCCTCCTTTTCCGGACCACCTGTCAGGGCACTTGGCATAGCCGTGTCCTGGTTGTCCGCAGATGAAGCACGGACCAAATCCTCCGGATCCTTTGCCCTTCCCCGAGGGCGATCCTTTTCTCTTGCCTTTTCCACCTCCGAGATGTCCAGGATGGCCTTTGGTGCCAGTTGGATCGAAGTAGCCACGAGCTGCTCGAACTCTTGCCACCGCTTGGCGTGCTTCCGCCAAGGTCTTGTTGGCCTCTGTCGCAAGAGCGTAGGCCTCTTCCAACCGCTGCTCACCCTCAATCTCTTCAGTGCTGCGATCTTGCCCTCCAGCTCCGTCATCATGAAGACCAGCATAGATCTCCTCCGCCTCGTAGCCATCATCCCATGACGGAGGAGACCAGTCGGCCCAATAGGCGTCCGCTTCGCTCCACCATGAGTCGTCATCGGGCCACCATTCGTCCTCATGTTCCCAGTCATTGTTCTCCTCATTGAACCAGACGGTCTTGCGAGGAAACCTGCCATGGTGTTCGTCCGCCTGATCCGCTCCATCAGAGAAGAGGGACCTCAGGGCTTGGCGGATCTGAGCGAAGTGCGTGGAGTTCTTCGTCAGGGTCAGGACATGCTGCCTCTCGGCTTGCGACAACTTCGAAGCCTTCAGGAGTCTATAGCCCCTCAACTCATTCTCGAAGAACCCAGCGCCACCTGAAGGCGCGACCATCGGAGGCGGCGGAGGTTCATCGTCCTCCACCACGAAGCTGGCCTCATCTCTTCCGGAGCTCAACCCTGCTCGAGTCACGTTCGGCGAACGGGTTGGTGAGATTGGAGGGTCATGTTCACTTGCCCCCACTGCCATCGACCGGACTTCATGCCGAGCGCGCTCATGCCTTGCTCGTTGAAGGGCTTGTTGGAGTTCCACGAACAGCTCTTCCTCTCGGACAAGCAACTGCGGGATGCTCTCGCTGGGGCCCCTCCTGAGGCCACTCCATTTCTCCAGCCTCGAAAACGAGTCGGGGATGGGGAGCTTCTGGAGAGGGCTTTCTCGGAGTACCCGAAGTAGTTTCTCCAGGCCTGTGTCCGAGCTGAAGTCCTTGGGGTCGAGATGGCGAACCACCGACTTGGCGGCGCCGGCGAGGCGCTGCCAAATCTTCGGGGCTGCGAGCTTCTTCTCGCTGTCCTTCAGAGAGCATTCAAACCACTTGCAGGACGTGGCGAATGCCTCGAAGGAGCTTGGGTCTCCGTCCCACACTGGGACCTCCTCAGTGGGCATCAGCCCTTGCCGCCAGGATCTCCTCGAAGGTCACCTGGATGTAGCCAGAGCTCCGCCTACCATGAAAGCGGATTCCTACCACAGGAAAACACGCGGTCCAACCGTGGACCAGGGGCGACGCCGCGCGCACGTTTCACCGCTGGCTCTCGAGCCCACCCTGTCGGATGGAAAAGGGTCATGTCAAGTGAACCTCAAGCTTGCACTACCCGATTCCTGCGAGCAGCATATCGAAGCAAAACCAGGACTTCAGGTAGACTCTTGCCACATCTTTGAGCTGAGTGTGAAGGACATCATTGATATACACGGCCGTGAGGAACGATGCGGGGACATCCAATAGCCAGTAGCCCGTGGTCACCCAATGAAGCAGGTCCAAGACCTCCTTCGTATCCGGAGCCAAGTTGTAGACTTGCAGTGGGACCGTCAGGACCTCAAAGAGGAGCACCACCATAGCGATGCAATCCCACAGGACCCTGGAAGTAGTAGGATCGGAAAAGCGTTCAGACGAAGAGGCTGGGGCGAAGAAGAGAAGACTGGTCGTTGTTTCGTGATTCTTGAGGGTATTCTTGGTGGCTTTTCTCCTCAGGGACGTCCTATTGGTCCCAGGTCTGATGCTTTTGGAACAGAATCTCCTCAGGTCCGTCCCATACTTGGCCTTAGTAGAACGGCAGGTGTCTGGCGGACTTGGGTGGTGAGACCGTGGACGTCCCTAATTGTGGTGCAAGAGAGGTCCCAGAGCAACGCAGCCATCGGCCCCCTCGCCCCCGCACTGACTCCAGATTCTCTGGATTCCTTGCAGGTTGACCTGTTTCCACCTGTGCCCCAACCGTGGATCCACCTCGCGCCTGCTCGATGACTCTGGGCTGACGGCACAACCTGGATCCAGTGTCATCGAAGACATGCGCATCCTTCCTGGCGAACGAGGCACCAGGCCGGAACCAACTGGGTGTGCATGTTCATAGCGAGGTTTCCCCTTTCTCGCCCCTATATGGTTTGGCTCTGTTTTCCGACCCTTCCAGGACGTCGGAAGAGAAAGCCTTCGGGCTCCGCGGGCCCGCGGGACCGATCCAAATACCAACAGAGGTTGAAGAACCCCATAGGTTAACCTATAGGTACCCTGGTAGGGTCCTAGTTCAGGTCACTTCACCTCTGTTGGTATACATACAATAGAAAAGATTATCATGATCAACTGACTGGGTAGGCAAAGGAAAAGGCCGTCTGTGTTGCGAGCCAACATGGAACTGGTGGTTCTACGTCCTGTCGGGATGATTATAATTAATAGTAACTCGAGTTGTTATTCATCCAAGCTTGTCAACGAGCCAAACAATGGACTCAGCCAAACCCAAACCCCCACAACTGGGTCGCATGTCATCTGGACAGATGGCTGTCATCACAAATCTGCCTTCCCAAACGAAGTCATTTGGACTTCACGGCGTCTCGTCCTACCAGTCTTTTTCCTAAACTCAAGGACCAGCCGCGCTGGCTGGTGGTGACCGTCTGGGTCTTTGGGGAGGTGATCGCGTGATTTGTCTGGAGATCCACGAGCTGGTCATCGCGCAAGTCCCACTCTATGCCGATTCGGAAGGCTGCGTCTTCCTCAGCTGGAAGCTTCCCATGGACCGGCACACAGCAAAACCGATGGCGAAAGCAAGCCGAAAAATAGTGTAAAGCCGAAAACAGTGTAGATCTGTGGTGTGTAGGTTGAGTGGGGCCCGAGTGGATGGCACTTGTTGGATGTTGTGGAGAACCACAACAGCCTTTGAGCTGCTTTAGGTGCTCGGATTGGGATTGGCCCGGGAAATGTTTCCTCCACCGATTCGCTGGTGATCAGGTGATCAAAAGTTCGATTCGGTCTGACTTGGCCCCTCTACACGCGTGATGATACTGATTGCGTGGCTTCTAAACATCTCCAGACCCAGCTACAGCAGCCTTTTTGAGCACATGTCACATGTCCCGGTGCAGAGGAAGCGTCACACAAATCTGAAGTGGCCCTTTGTACAGCGGCCTGTGCCATATGTGTGGCCAGCCGCCTGGAAGCCGTGGACATGTTCGACTTGCGCTGGGTCATTGGTAGCTCCTCAGGCTCCAGCTCTGGCTGCAATTGGACCCCCAGCGGAACAGACTCTCGAGGTGATTGTTGCGAATGCGCCCGGGAAGCGGGTGGCGATCCATTTTTCCGGGCAGACCTCACGGCGATGGCGGCACGAGCCGAGCAGAACCCAGGTCCAAAATGACAAGACTTGTCGTTGGGGCACCTGAAGGGATTGCACTTCACAAGTATACATTCATACATATATCATATATATATATACACATATATGCCGACACACATGTTATTTAGATTTAACTTAGTTATAGTTATATATAATTAATGATGCATATATAATCAGATAAGATATTAGATGCTGTATATTATAGTCTTCTAGGATATTAGGGTGTTGCAGTCTTCCTGCTTCTGGAATCGGCGACCCAGAAGGTGAATGGCAGATGCTCTTAAAGAGAGAAGCCCTGCCAAGGCAATCATCCTCCATGTGGAGGAGCAAGCTCTGGCCAAAGGGCAATTGCTTTATAATTACTTGCATCCCTAATTGCCGATTTCACTTCAGTGTGCGCTGGTCTGACCTTCTCGAAACATCGCCCGGCACCGGCTCTCTTCAAGTCAAAGCACTCTGCAGTGGCAGACTTCGACTTCTGTCTCGAATCCGTTTCGTAAATGTGGAGAAGCCTCTCCTGCAAGCCCTGGCAGGTTCACATTTCTGGGAGGTGGTGAGGCATGTCTGTTCATGACCCGTTCTAGGCCCTCGCAGTGGTCATGGTTCCAATTGCCTTACATACAATATCATACAGTATCTCAACATGTTCTCTCATCAGGCAACTTCCCGAAGGTCCCCTCAACCTCGCCTGAATCTGCAGGAGGACCTCCTCAAAGCTGAGCCCCAGCGATGAGCTGCGCCGATGGCTGACGGACAAACGATGTGAGCTGCGCCGACGCAGTGTCAGCGCCGGCACGCTCGCGCTGTTGGCGGTTGGGCGGCTCAAGCTGCTTGGCAAGGGGGCCTCCAGGCCGACAGAATTCCCCAATGGGCGTGCACACCACAGGGGGATGTAAGTGGACTAAGTGCACAGCACAAAAAGAAACATAAATAGAAAACAATATTAGTCCAAAAGCACATCACTGTTCGAACAACCAACTGATCAAACAACTTTTGGGTCTGAACATCTGAGGCGGCACCGCATGTGTGTGTATTTATTCGATATAGCCGTAGTCCAACGCCAAAGTATGGACGATCGATCGTGATACCCCTCACAGTCAGCGAGCAGTGGGACGCCAAACACGGACCGTATGGTGACCGGGACCGGCTGGAACTCTGGACGATTGGTCCCACACCGAACCCAGCAGGTCTGGTTTTCTGAACATCTGTGATTGAAATCATGCCTTCAAATGGGAAAGGTTTGGAGGGTCCATGGAAGGTCTGACAAATCTTAGAGTGCTCAAGGATTCTTAGGGATTGACATACACCCCAGAAGAGGCAAACGTTCCCCTGTTTGGTTGCCAAAACGCTTCACAAACGCTGCTTACAGTGTGTACATCACCCGCGCATGTCACAAAAACTTCACTTCAAGCCTCTGAATATACCTCCCATGAACTAGCCGTGCCCGAAAAAGAAATGGTCTTCTATGTTGTCGTTGTGCCTTTTGAAACCCAAAAAGTTGCGCCAGGTGTGCCACCAAGCACACAGGAATTTTTCACCACCAGGCCTACCTGGTTTGAGTTTCCCTGCTGCGAATGCAATTCCAGTTTTTTTTCAAAACCCATCCCACAAAATCGCTGTGACTCTGTCGAATGGGGCCGCGGTGACCGGTGAGGCATGCCTGGGCCACTGTGTGTTGTGGCTACATTGGGTTTTGCCATGATAATTATGAGAGTGTCTCATTGCTTGTTGTCTGCTGTGCTGTTCATTCTAGTGTTGTCAAGAACTGCCTGCGTTGTCAAGAACTGGGTGTTGCCTTTGTGTCTTTGCGCCTGTGTGACCGGGAAGCCAATGATCGCCACCGGTGACCACCGCACGGGCCCTGCGGCTGGAAAAGCCTAGCCGCAACCGCTTAGGAGGTGCTGATGTTTGGCCGCGAAATTTGGGCCGCAAACGTTCGACTGTCGCAAACTTTTTAAGACGTGGAACTTTTGAGTATTTCATGGTATTTCTTTGGAATCGTGAAATCCTTTGATCCTTTGATGTTTGGACCTCCGGCCTTTGTGACTTATTCAGGCAGCTTAAGGGCAAAGTGTGGCATTCCGACCGTGCGTACTTTATCCTTCTTGAATGTGTGTGTCTCATTGCATCTCATTGCTCATTGCTTGCAGTCTGTTGTAGTGTTTGTCCTTGTGTATTGTTGCGCATATGTGCCGTTGTGGTTGCATGGTTGTGTGTGTGTGTGTTTGCTTGTTGTCTGTGCCATTGTTTGTCGTCTGTTGTCGTGTTTGTCATTATAGGGCACTGAGTGATGCTCCCCAGCAGCAAAGGTAACGACAGGGTTTTTTTAAACGTGTGTTGTTGTCAGTACCTGTCCGATTGTTTGGTGCTTGTTGTTGTCTTTATCGGGCATTGTCAAAACCCCGCATCCAAAAATCAATCCTGCACACCCGGCACGACAAAACGCGGCTGAGTGACCGACGCATCCCGAACAACATTGACTATATTGGACCACCACGTGCAGTCTCAGTTGTCTGCATGATTTCGTCCAAGACTACCCCACGAAGGTTCGTGTCTGAAGAATAAAACAACCAAACAGTTCTGGATTGGCTTGCTCCACGGCTCATGGGCTGCGTGCACTGGTTCGGGCCACTGGTGGGACCACTGGTTCGGGCCACTGGGATGTCTAGTGCTTATGTTTGGTGTGGTATGGTGTAGTCATTCCGTGTTGTCTGTGACATGGCATCTTCTCTCTCTCTCTCTCTCTCTCTCTCTCTTTTGTTGCGGCGTTGTTTGTGTGTATGTTTGGTGTTCTAATTTTGTGCACTGTCAGTCTGTATCATAGTTTGGCATCTGCCGTCTTGGGCCAGTCCTTGGACTGGCCCAGTACTGGCTGATGCTCTGCAAAACAGGTCACGATAGGGGGTGGGAGGGTCACTTTGGAACACACGTTTTAGTTCACTTTGGAACACAAAAGACGTGTCACTTTGGAACACAAAACAACCCAAAACCATGGAAGGGTTAATAAAAAGCGAGATCACTTTGGAACACAACACACCTGGTTTTTGGGTCACTTTAGAACACACACACAGACACGGATGGGGAGGGTTTAAAGATGAAGGATGGGG